TTTTTTTTTTTTTTTTTTTTTTTTTTTTTTTTTTTTTTTTTTTTTATTATTGTTTTATTTTTTTAACGTAACCATAATGTATTTCAGAATGATCCTGAAAAACAACTGACCAATCAAGCTGTGAGTGTTTTTCTTGCTTATAAACCTGTGGTGGATACTGTCTCAGACAGGCCTTTCATTTCTAGTGGATTACACACGTGCAAAAGTTGAAGCTGTGTTATTTCAGTTGTTCTGGTACTGAAGCCATGTAGCCCTGTCTAAGATTTGTTTCTGAATTGTTGATTTATAGTACCTAATAGCTCTTGCTGTTCTGGTTTGTGTGCTTCTCTCCACTTTTTTTTACCCCTTCTCTCTCCCTCCTCTCTAGGTCTAAAGATTTGGCAATAAGCTGATAAAACTATTACAGACATAAACCTACAAGCTCACTTCATGCATAGCAGTCTTACTCAGCTGCTATTCTTTTATCAGAGGCACAGATCCCACAGCTTGCAATTATGGTCTTTGACTTCAGTAACAATTCTGTTTTGAAATGTTTCCAATTACACACGTTGGCATGCCAAAAAGCATTTCCACGTGTCTTCCAAGGGGCTTCCAAGTATCGGACTTTGATTGCTTTTAATTTAAATAGAGGCTATTTGGTTTCCTGTGATATTTTTATAACCACATTTTCAATTTTGTTGCTTTTTAATCTTTCTCGTAGTAGCCACAACATAACATTATACAATATCTGGTCTAGGATTCTGTTTCTGCCAAATCCAAGTTTACTTTTAACTCTTGGCCCTCTGCTCTGAAGTCAGTTGTTCATATACAGCATAATTAAACAGGATCAATTACATTAAATCTGCTTAAAAAAATCAATGACATGATACAAACCTCAGTACTGTTTCCTTTTTTTTAAAAAAGGAAACTGCTAGACTATTTTAGCATAAACTTAGATACAAGTCCATCTACAGGCATGAATATATTTAAAGAAATCCATATTGCACAGCTATCTTCCCATCTAGAGATTATTATTATAATAGACATGATTAGTTCCCATTATTATTAATAAGAAATTATAGGTCTGAAAATATACTAAGTCAGGTAGAGCACATGGCTTCATATGTTTCAAAAGCATTGGGATTCTGTCCTTGCCTTAATATACTTTTTTCTTTATCCTTTTTTATTATTTGTGTGTCTTATACCTTTTTAACTTTAATCAGAGACTTTAAAGATTTGCTGTAAGGGGGGTGGTGTTTGTTTTTTAAAGAAACCCACATCACAAAAGTTAAAAGTATGAAATACTTTGTTTTTTCTTGATCTGTTTATAGAGTCTTATAGTGCTCCTGGTCCAGAACATGATTATAAAGTTGCCTTCATGTGAACGCTATATTCTTTTTATACCTTTTTCATTAGTTAGGTCCATTTATGAAAGTCCCAATTGCTAGCTCAGCAGAGATTAAGCTAGCCACACAGTCATTCTTGCGCTACCACCTGAGCACACTGGCTAGTTAGACAGCTGTCCCCACCCAGTGCTGATTTTTCTGTAGTGACACAAACACACAGTAACCATGGTACAAACAGAATGCTTTTCAAAAACCTTCATGC